CCATATTAGCAGTAATGCTGTTATACTTTCTTATCATTTATGTATTTAACTGGAGTAACACTTTTAATTTTCTTCAATAAATTTTCCTTTGCATTCACAACTTGGCTGTTTAGTTCAAGAGGTCTAGCTGTGAGCCTATTGGGCTTTTGACATGCTTTTCTCACTAAGCTTAATCATTTCTAGCTTTTGGCTTAAAGTGAGAGTATCATCACGGTGGCTCATGCCTATAATCCCAGGTCTTTGGGAGGCCAAGCTAAATTGCTTGAGCCCAGTAGTTTGAGACCAGCCTGGGCAAACATAGTGAGATTCCCCATCTCCACAAAAAGAAAAATAAATGTGAGAGATACGCGACTCTTCCTTTCACTTGAACAGTTAGAAGTCATTGTAGGGTTATTAATTAGCCAATTTTCAATATTGTTATGTCTTAGAGAATAGAAAGACCTGAGAAAGGGGAAAGGGAGGGGCAATCAGCCACTTGTTGGAGAAGTCACAACACACGTACAACAGTTGTTAAGTTCACTGTATGGTACAAGTGGCTCTCTCTGCCTACAGCTCTTCTTAGCAACAACATTAATTTTATTATTGCAATACTTCTGACATATCTCAATGTAATTATTTTCTCAAAGAGGTCTTCTCTGACCACCAGCAGCATAATCTCCACCCTGCCAAAGTAAATACAATTTTATCATCTTTCATATCCATTTTTAAAATGTATTGCCCTTACCATGTGTTGAAATTACACATTTGCTTGAATTGTTTTATTGTATGTATACATCTCCCCTGTTAAATTATAACTGTTCATTGCTATATTGCCAACAGCAAAGTGTCTGCCTACCTAAGATGCTGCTACCACATGTGTAGGGGGAAGTAACTTCTTTCAAGGACAAACATTCACATTTATTCTTGCAATGTAGTTTATTAATTTTCATTAACAATAGAAGTTCATTTATATCATGGAACATAACAGTTTTTTAAAGTAACACTAATCAAGCCCCCTTTTTCATAACTATATCCAATTTTATTTTTAATTTTTTTATAATTTTATCTTTTATTTTAGATTTGAGAATATATGTGCAGGTCTGTCACATGAGTATATTGCGGGACACTGACATATGGCGTATGAATGATCCTGTCACTCTGATAGTGAGCAGAGTACACAATAAGTAGTTTTCAGTCCTACCCTCACCAGTAGACCCCAGTATCTATAGTTCTCATCTTTATGTCCTGTGTACCCAAGGCTTAGCTCCCACTTATGAGTGAGAAAATGTGGTATTTGGTTTTCTGTTTCTGCATTAATTCACTTAGGAATTTGGCCTCTATGTTGCCACAAAGGTCGCGATTTCATTCTTTTTTTTTTTTTTTTTTTTTTGAGACGGAGTTTCGCTCTTGTTACCCAGGCTGGAGTGCAATGGCGCGATCTCGGCTCACTGCAACCTCCGTCTCCTGGGTTCAGGCAATTCTCCTGCCTCAGCCTCCTGAGTAGCTGGGATTACAGGCACGTGCCACCATGCCCAGTTAATTTTTTGTATTTTTAGTAGAGACGGGGTTTCACCGTGTTGACCAGGATGGTCTCGATCTCTTGACCTCGTGATCCGCCTGCCTTGGCCTCCCAAAGTGCTGGGATTACAGGCGTGAGCCACCGCGCCTGGCCGATTTCATTCTTTTTTGTAGCTGCATAGTATTCCATGTTATATATGTGCCACATTTTCTTTATTCAATCCACCTTTGAAGGGTTGGTAAGTTGATTCTGTGTCTTTGCTATTGTGAATAGCAGTACAACGAACATGTATCTTTTTGGTAGAATAAATTGTTTTTCTTTGGATATATACCAAGTAATGGGATTGCTGGGTTGAATGGTAGATCTGTTTTATGCTTTTTTGAGAAACCTCCAAACTGCTCTGCAAACTGTTCATGGTGGCTGAACTAATTTACATCCCCACCAACAGAGTGTATGTTCCTTTTTCTCCACAGCCAATCAGCATCTGTTATTTTTTGACTTTTTAGTAATAGCCATTCTGACTGGTGTCAAATGGTATTTCAATGTGGTTTTGAGTTGCGTTAGTGATGATGAGAATTGTTTTCATACATTTTTTGGCCACTCGTATATGTCTTCTTCTGAGAAGTATCTGTTCTTATCATTTGTCCATTTTTTTAATGGGGTTATTTGTGTTGTTCTTGTTGACTTGTTTCAGTTCCTTGTAGATTCTGGGTATTAGACCTTTGTTATCTCACATTCTGTAGCTTGTCTGTTTACTCTGTTGATAGTTTCTTCTGCTGTGCAGAAGCTCATTATTTACGTCCCTCTTGTCAATTTTTGGTTTTGTTGCAATTGCCTTCGGAGACTTAGCCAAAAATTATTTGCCAAGACTGATGCCAAGAAGGGTATTTCCTAGGTTTTATTCTGAAATTTTGATAGTTTGAGGTCTTACCATAAATCTTTTGTTTTTAATTCTGTTTACTTATTAAATAGGAAGTCCTTTCCCCATTGCTTGTTTTCCTTGGCTTTGTCAAAGATCAGATGATTGTTGGTGTACAGCTTTATTTCTCTGTTCTTTATTCTGTTCCATTGGTCAATGTGTCTGTTTTTGTACTGTTACAATGTCATTTTGGTTACTGTAGCATTATAGTATAGTCTGAAGTTGAGTAATGTGATGCCCTGTCTTTATTCTTTTTGCTTTGACAATTTGGGCTCTTTTTTGGTTCCATATTAATTTTAGAATAGTTTTGTCTAACTGTATGAAAAATGATGATGGGGGTTTGATAGAAATAGTGTTGAATCTCTAGACTGCTTTTGACAGTATCGCCATTTTAGCAATATTGATTCTTTCAATTCATGAGCATGGAATGGTTTTTCATTTATTTGTGTTGACTCTCATTTCTCTCAGCAGTGTTTTGTAATTATCCCTGTAGAGATCTTTCACTCTCAAACCATTTACCATAGCCACAAAATAAAAAGAAAACACCTAGGAATCCATCTGACCAAGGAACTGAAAGATTTATCAGTTCCAGGAAACTTTTGACAGAGTCTTTATGATTTTCTAGGTATAGAATCATATTGTCAGCAAATAGAGATACTTCAACTTCTTTTTTTCTTACTTCAATGTCTTTTATTTTTTCTCTTGCCTGATTGCTATGGCTAGGACTTCCAATACTGTGTTGACTAGGAGTGGTAAGAGGGGCACCGTTGTCCTGTTCCAGTTCTCAAGAGGAATGCTTTCAGTTTTTGCCTGTTCAGTATGATGTTGGCTGTGGGTTTGTCATAGATGGCTCTTATTAATTTGAGGTATGTTTCTTCAGTGCCTAGTTTGTGAAAGGTTTTTATTATGAAGGGATGTTGGATTTTATCAAAAGTTTTCTTCCCTGTCTATTGAGATGATCATATGGTTTTTGTTTTTAATTATGTTTATGTGGTGAATCATATTTATTGATTTGCATATGTTAAATGAACCTTGCATCCCAGGAATAAGCCTATTTTATTCTGGTGAATTAACTTCTTGATGTAGTATAGTTTTAGTTTGCTAGTATTTTGTTGAGAATTTTCACATCTAGGTTCATGAGGAATATTGGTCTGTAGTTTTCTTTTTTCTTTCTGCCTTTACAATGTTTTTGTATCAGGGTGAGGCTGGCTTTATAGCATGAGTTAGGGAGGAGTCTGTCCTCAATTTTTTGGAAAAATTTCGGCAGAATTGGTACAAGCTCTTCTTTGCACATATTGTAGAATATGGCTGTCAATCCTTCTGGCCCAGGACTTTTTTGGTTGGTAGATTTTTAATGACTGCTTTAATTTTGTAACTTTATATTGGTCTGTTCAGGGTTTCCATTTTTTTCTTGATTAAATCTTGGGAGATTGTGTACTTCCAGGAATTCAGCCACTTTCCCTAGAGTTTGTATACATAGAAGTGTTTATAGTAGACTTAGGATCTTTTATTTCTGTGGTATAATTCATAATGTTGCCTTTGTCATTTCTCATTGTGATTATCTGGAACTTCTTTTTTTCTTTGTTAATTTAACTAGCAGTCTATCCATCTTGTTTATTTATTTTTCTCCAAAAAACCAACTTTTGGCTTTATTTATCCTTTGTATGGATTTTTGTGTCTTAATTTTATTTAGTTCTGCTCTAATTTTCGTTTCTTCTTTTCTTTTGCTAGCTTTTGAGTTAGTTTGTCCTTTTTCTAGTTTCTCTATATATGATGTTAGATTGTTAATTTAAGATCTTTTTTATTTTCTGAGGTTGTCATTTAACACTATAAACTTTCCTCTTATCATTGCTTTTGCTGTTTCCCAGAGATTTTTGTATGTTGTGTCTCTGTTTTCATTCATTTTAAATAATTTTTTGATGTCTGCCTTAATTTCATTGTCTATCTAAAATCATTCAGGAACAAGTTGTATAATTTCCATGTAATTGTGTGATTTGGAGAGATCTCCTTAGTATTGATTTCCATTTTTATTTTGCTGTTGTCTAAGAGTATGGTTGATATGATTTGAATTTAAAACAAAATTATGACACTTGCTTTATGGCCATTACAGATGAGAACAATGTATATTCTGTGGTTGATTAGTGAAGTATTCTATAAAATTCTATCACATCCAATTGGTCAAGTTTAAGTCCAGAATTTCTTTATTAGTTTTCTGCCTTGATGATCTGCCTAACACAGTCAATGGGGTGGTGAAGTCCCCCACTATTTAAGCTCCTTTATAGCTTACATATCTGAATGTATTACTTACTCACAACTTGGCTTGTGATGTCAAGAAAGAGAGCAGCTTTGTTGTCCAGATATAGCAGAGGTTGTGAATGCAAACTCCTCATCACACAATGTGGAGCCTGAATATTTGTTGAAAGAAACAGATGAGAACAAGAACCTCTTGATAAGAAAACCTTCCAGGAAGGCCAAGATATCTGTTTGATGTTTCCAGGTTTTATTGATGTCAGGGCTTGGGACATAAATATTGAGAACTGCTTTATAGCACTGCATCTCTCTGACTTATCTAAGAAGTGCTATCTGATTGATGTAAGCTTCAATGATCTATCTGAATGGAGGACAAGCTGCCCTTCAGATTTAACATTTATTATGGTGATTCATTAATTTTTCATGTGCAAAGTGACTCTTATGAAAGTGAGAACTTGATAGGAAAGAAAAATTTAGTGTCTTTACAAGGAATCTGTGGAGATAAGTGAGGACCACCTAAATGAGAAAAGCAAAGGCAATTTATTCAGAGCTTGCTATACCAAAGGAGTCAGCTACCGTCCCTCATGTTTTGTCAGAGACTTAAAGATAGGCAGAGGAGTAGGGAAGCTTTAGAGTGGAAGAAAACTAACAAAGCTTCAGGTGTGCCCTGATTGGAGGCTCTTGCATGGGGAAGATATAAGCAGGCTAACTAAAAGTGAGGTATCCTATGTGATTGGTTAGATGTGCATATTTAGCTTTCTCTGGTCCTTCCTAAGTTGAATAAACCTCAGAAAATTATGCCATGTGAGAGAAGCCATACAGAAATGCCACTACATACTATATTATTCCATTTATATGAAATGTACAGAATAGGCAATTCCATAGAGACTGAAAGCAGGTTTCTGGCTGCCAACAGCTGGGGGGAGGTGGATAAGGTAACTGCTCAATGAGTATGTGGTTTTCTTTTGGGATGTTAAAAAATTTTGAAACTACACAGAGATAAAAGCTGCAGAACATTGTGAATCTGCTAAATACCACTTAATTTTTCACTTTAAAAGACTGAACTGTATGGCATGTAAATTAATTGAAATAAAAATATTATTTATATTAAAATTGATAAAAATCTAAAGATGAGAGAATTCATAGTTTAACTTCAGATTATTAATTCAAGTTTTGTGTATTTAATTGCTTCTATGTAGTGACAGTGTCAGTTTAGAAGACCTGTTAATGCAAAAACATTCCTGAGTCTCACAATAAAACATATGATTAGAGCCTCAACTGTAGAGTTTGGGTATTGGTTGCAGGTGCCTGCTGTACACTGTGTCTCACAGCACAGAGGTAGGTGGCTGAGTCACCAGGTTGAGAAGCTGCAATGTATAAAGTACTATGTCCTGATGATTTATCCAGCGAGGCATTAAGTCTTCCATTTGTTTGCTCTCTCTGACTTGACTGAATTAACAAGAGAGATGTGAGACCTTTCCCAGGATCCTGCCTAAACCACTGGAGGTAGTAAATAGTGCTATCAGTGAAACTGCAGTTGAGAACCAAGCTGTCTCCTTCTGGGACACTCAGAGCTGCAGGAATCTGCGTCACCTCCTGTTTACTGCTCACCCCTGTTCAGAAAAAGAGCAATAGACTGGTTAGCGGCTAATGATTCCTTAGAAATTACTTTTAAATTTATTCTTTCCATTTCCACAGAAACTCCCAGAGAACCATACAGACGTTAACAACTCCCTTTCTTTCTCCCTCTCTCCTTGGAGAGATGTCCTGGAGTCTGCCTGCTCTTTGCTCATTTCCAGTTCCCTCTAACTCACATTGCAGCTGCAGCCAAAGGATGAGCAGGCCCAAGAGTGTCTCCATTGCTCTGTCACGTAAATTCACTGAGAACAGAAATCTTATGTCTGAAACATGGAGAACGGTTCACAAGATAAACGTTCTGCTTTGCTGCCTCATATGTTCAAACATTTCTACAGGAAACACAGAGTTGGCCCAGCCAATCTAAAACAAGTCTCTCTCTCTCTCTCTCTCTCTGTGTCTCTCTCTCTTTGTCTCTCTCTCTCTCTCTCTCTCTCACACACACACACACACACACACACACACAGATCTGCAATGTGGGAGGTGGAAATGGAATGAAAACACTGCCACTTCAGAATCAAGCACAGTACTGCTAGAGAAATGCTTCTTTGTCTTCCACTTTCACCTCCTCCTTCTCTTAAAGAAACAAAAATATTTGAATATCAGATTTGTAGAATGCAGCCAATTCAGTGCATAGAGAGAAATTTATTTTCTTAAGTGCTTATATTAGAAAAGAAAAAAACATATAAATGTTTTCCATACTGTTACAGCAACTTTCTCCAGATTCCTATGACTTCTCGCTCTTCTTGCCACTTCAGCGCTTAAGGACTGGTTTCCTGTAACACATTTCTGTGAAAAGTCCCTTTCTATCACCTCTTACTTTCAAATTGCAAAAAGAGTTCAGAATCATAATATTAATATTCAGCTTTGTAGATAATGTCAGGAAATGGATACTCTCATATTCTGATAGCTGAAATATAATTAATAAATGTCTATGGGGTAATTTACATATTATTGAATGCAGAAGTACCATTTGGCTGGGAATTTTTCTTAAATACTCATAAATACACTTAGAGATTGTAACTTGCATGCAGTAGTTTTAAAAAGTGGAAAAAATTTTAAATATTCTTTCAATATAGATAGTGAATACATTATGGTAGATCTATATTATGTTTTACTACACTTGTGAAAAAATACAAGGTGGGTTAAATTTTCTGAATTGCAAAAGCTTCTCTCTTACTCAGTCGAATCACAGCATTTTACATATAGTGCGATCCTATTTATGTTTTTTAAAAGTATGTTTATTGTGAGTTTGTATTTAAATTGAAGTGTGATGAAAACTGTGACAGTAATTAGGAACTTGTCAGGAGCAAATCAATCAAGTATCATTTTTTATACTATATTGCATAGATATTTAAACAACAATGTGATCAGTCACAAAAAATGGAGTATGGGTGCATATAAAACTAGGGAAATGTTGAAATAAGAAATATTAATATAATGATTTCATTTTAACAAACTTTCAAGATTCATTTATTTCTCAATGAAGGTGCTATAGTCGAAAAAATTGAGAGAGCCCAGACACTCCTCAGAAAACTAATGTTCAATTTATGAACTTGACACTGGACCTTTACCAAGAATGAAAATGTTAGTTGTAGAAAGGACAATATCCAGGATCTTCTCGCTCCCTGTTTTTTCTTTACAGTTTTTGATTTCATGTACCTTTTTCTTATTTTTCCCCTTTCCTTCTTCTCATTTTATTTTCCACCTTCTTCTATTAATCTCACAATTTCTTGTGCAATGCCCTCTTAAATGGATGTTATCTCCCCCTCTTCAGCAGGGAGACAGGTGTGGTTCAATCTGCCCACATGGTGGTGTCTTTGAGGCTATCTGGTGCAGGGCCAGGGTACTAGACTTACTGTCCATAGGGATGGGCAGTGATATGGTTTGGATCTGTGTCCCCACCCAAATCTCATTTCAAATTGTAATCTCCAGTGATGGACATCCAGCCTGGTGGGAGGTGATTGGATCATGGGGTTGAACTGGTTAAGAGGCAGGACTCTATGGCTCTGTCTCTCATTTTCCCTTGGGCTCAATAACATAGGAAATTCTATAGCAGAGAAAGCTCTTCTGTGAGCTTTCACTGAGGGTTATAAGATAAAATTTGTCCCCCTAGAATTTATATGTTGAGCTCCTAATCCCCCGTACTTCAGAATGTGACCTTATTTGGAGTTGCATTCAAGATTTTCTCTTGATTACAGAAGTAATCAAGTAAAATGAGGTGGGCTCTAATGCAATATAAAAGGAGAAATTTGGACACAGATATGCAGAGAGGGAAGATAATATCAAGACACCGGGGTATGATGGCCATCTACAAGCCAAAGAGAGAGGGCTGAAACAGATCCTTCTCCCCTGGATCCTGTTGGCATCTTGACTTCAGACATTGCCTCCAGAACCATGGGACAATAAATTTCTGATTTTTAAGTCCCCAGCCTATGGCACAAACTAATACACTGGGTATGATGTAGCCCTTCACACTGAGGATGTGACTTCCTCAGAAAGGAAACAGCTGTGGTTCGATCACTTGCCCTTAGCATCTTGGGTGAAGGACAGTAGGATAGTACATGCAGCAGATTCCTCTTCTGATTTCTTGGTTTTGAACGTCATCTTTTCTTAGGGCTAAAACTCTTACCCAGGGTCAGAGCACAGTCAGCTCTGTCATGAGCTTCAGATTTCAAGTCAACAGTAGAATCCAGGGCCCACTGCTCAGCCTTTGTGTCTCAACCTGGGCTGGAGGAGGTAACAGAGTGCAGATGCATCAGCAAATTCATCACCTCTGGCACAGACCCTTGCTTGGCAGCTGTCACTTTGGGGAATCCCCAGGCTTAGAGTCACCCAAGGAGCTGCTTGGCTGATACCTTCTCCCCAGGTTTAGCCACGTTCCTGGAAAGAGAGTAAAAATATGAAACAAGCATCTATTTCCAACCTAGATGGACCCTTGAGAGCATTTATGAGTTTTAAACTCTAAAATAAAAATCTTAAGGATAAATAGCATTCACATGGAACCCCTCTTTTTTAAATCAATTTTATCAATTTTTTACAACCCAAGAGAAAGAATTTATCTTATTAAGGACTCCATGCCCCAATGAGTGCAAATAATTTTTCTTTATATTTAGGAAAACGCTACCAAGGCTTATACCATCATAAGAAGGTAGAGAAAGCTCATCTAAATAAGAAGAAAGAACAAATGAGGCTCACGCAGAGAGAAATGTGTCCAAAGTAACCAGGAAAGGTATAGTTACAGCCTGATCAGGAAGCCACGTCTCCAGTTGCCTGAAATGCCTCTAGCTATCATATGTCTCTAGGAGAGCATTTATAGACTGCATATCTTGGTACAAAGGAAACAAAAGACTGGCTCATACTCATCCTTACACCCCAGAAACCCTGTCCCTGACCCACCTTTCCCCATTCTCCATGTGTGTGCCTGGTGGTGGCATACACAAAGAATTGACATGTAGAGAGGGGAAAGGAGGGGACTGTAAGAAGGAAGAAATGATTCGCCTGCAAGACTTTTTCTCATTATCTTCTCAAGTTTAAGAGAAATGAAACAGATTGAGAAAAACAGTATCTTCCCCACCAAAAATGTAAACTTTTCTCTATCTCTATTTTGTAAACTTTACAAAAATAGATTAATTCACCTTGAAAGATGTATAGCTACTTCCTGTCTCCCTCTTTCTATGTTGTCCTCTTTTGATTGGAAACAAAACTTTTCATAATGGATTGAGACAAGGCTAGGAGTTATTGAATGTTGGAAGCAATGCACAGACTATTCTGTTTAGAACAAAGAGAATAAAATGTATCATTTGTCACAGTTTCTGCATGACTTCACTACTGAGTGTGAGCCAAACACTCTTTCCCTAGCTGAACAGGCATCTTATTGACAGGCACAGGAGCCCCCTCTTGTGACTAAATATATGAATGCTTTCCCACAGGTCCTGGGCAAGTCTTCCAACTGCTTTCATAAAATTACAGATACGGAGGAGAATCACTTATATGTCCTTGTGATGTTACAGAAAGGACTTTAACAATTTTGGTCATTCGTAGTTTCAGAATAATCACCATGTGTGACAAGCCATTTTTGCAATATTAACAGAGTCTTTGCTTTTTTATGTTACTATTTTAACTGCATATATTTTCCTCCATTCAGGCAGTTGGGTGATTCTCTGCTTATCACTTTCAAGAAAGGAAGTATAGCTGGAAAAAAAAAATAAAGAAGTCTTTCCTACCATCTTATTTCAAAACTTTCAGGTTTATAGGCAAATTAAAGAATCTGGTGTAAACTGACTTATAGGAAATGATACAAATACATAATATCAGTCTGCCTACCTGAGTCTATATAAACATTTTCTTGGTAGAGTAATAAGAGAAAAAAGTGCCAAAGAAAAGAGCATCAAAGAGGCTTAAGCATGGCCAGGCCCTTCAGAGGGGCCCTGGTCCTTATACCCTTGATGAGGTCTAGGAAAGTAAACTCCAAACCTCTGAGTCACTTTCAGTGGTGAAATAAATCTCAGGGCAGTTCTGTTTAACACTCCAATCTTCACCTTTCCTCTGCTCTCCAAACTTCAGGCCTGACCTCAAGCTGCAGTGAGGTGGACATGGCCTGCTCGGTTCTCGACTTCCCTCCTTTTTCTTTGATTTTAACTTCCCCCGTTAAGGTGAAAGAAAAAGATTAAGGGGAAGAAACAACAAAACTGTTGTTACTTAACCACTGTGCCCCTCTGGTGTTGTTGCTTCCCTGGCCTACCACTGACGCCTGTGTGTGGTGAGTGTCCGCATGAGAGAGCATCCAGGGGACCTGAGGGGCGCCTCAAGGGAGGTGTCTCCCCTTCCTGTCAGCCCCCCACTCAAGAGAACCCTCCACAGCCCCTTTCTCCTCTGGGTGAAGCCCTGGCAAGATAGCTCGGCCCTGCCACCTCACAGGTGGCACCTGCCCACAAATACACATGCCTCCTCACCGTGCCCAATGCAGAAACCCAGGCCGGCATGGCTGCCCTCTCCACTCTGCCATCTCTCTCCAGTGTCCCTGTCTTCTGCTTAAGTGGTTGCAAATGTAGTTCAAAATCTGCTTCAGAACAAAGACGAAAAGCCACACAATGTTCCTTTTTATTCAGCTGATTTCTGTCTTTGAAAGTAATTATCTTGGAGTATTGACCCCTCACGTGGCTTGTGGGAAAATGTGAACACTCTGATGATATTCTCTTCCTGACTCCTCCCGTCCCTCGCTACCTCCTCGCACCAGCTAAGGGGTGAGGATTGGAGGTTGCAGAGCCTGTTCAGTTGCTGCTTCTTGAACTCAAGGGAATGTCCAACTGTGGGTCATTCTTTCTTAAAAATTTTTTATTTAAATTTTTTTTTTTTGAGAAATGCAGCTCTGCTTAACATGTGAGCCATTCTTAATGAAAAATGGTGGCTGCTTAATGACTCTTGGTTCCTAGCTTTGGGTCCTATTTGTCAAATTCATGACAACAGTAAATGTCTCACAACATATTCTATTGATCTAATGGGAAAAATATCTGTTTGATTCTATAGCTAATTCTCCAAAAGACAAAATAAATATGCATTCCAATAATTATATAACATATAAATAAATAGAAATATTTAATGTATAACATGTATATTATAGATATATAAATGTAAATAGACACATTTGTATTCTAATAATATTAGAAATACAATGTTAGACAAACTTGGGGACAAAATTCAATAACAGTCCTCACACCAACCAAACTCATCATAGATTCAGGAAAAGGAAAGCCTGGATATGAGGATGTAGCAGATGACTAAGCATGGTCACGAAACAAATATGAGTATGAGCATGGTCTATGCTGAAATTATTATGAGCATGTTAAAGGCAGAGTTTAGAGCAGTGTTGTGCTATATTCTGCAATAAGCAGAGCTTTAACAGCGTTGGAATCAACTTTCTTCAATAGAAAGTGAAAATGTTGTAAAGAACCCAGAAAGAGTCAAAAGAGTAAATAAAATAATTAGATAAAACATGTGTAAATTTTAGAACATTGAAGGAAGCACTAAGATAATTGGCTTATGGCCTTTAAAATATATGCAAGTTTTATTTTTTAATTAACAATAAAGAATAAAAAAGCATTTATTCATAGTGGAGAAGCTCATACATTGTTTTAGCCTGTTTTCTTCTTGAAAAGTCTACAACTAAAAGGCTTATATATCCCCTAATCCTCTCTGCTGCTTTTCAAATCATAGATACATTTCCTTCTGTTGTTGAAAACAAAGATCATTCCCTTCTTTATCATCAAAACAAGGTGTTATATACTAATCATGATAGGACATAGTTTAATCTAAATAGGGCATTACCTACATTAAGGCATTTCTAGATGTGTTTCCTGGTTCCCTAAGCACTGTTATCCAAATGCAAAATCGCTTGCATGTCTGTATTTTCCATCCTCTTGAAATGCAGTACTCTCCCAATTGCAGTGTTTTTCAAAGTAAGATCTCCTGATCTAATGATCAAAATAATTAGACAACTCACTAAAAAAAAGCAGACTCCCGACGCCATGTCAAACCTATAGAATCAGAATTTATGGGAATAAAACATTTTTAAACTAAACTCTTCATGTGATTCTTCAATGTAGAGTAAAATTAGGGAAGTACTGTCTAGTTGGTTAACTCTGGAGTTTTAGGGGTTTTTTTCCTCATTTTATTTTATGGTGCCTGCAGCATTTACTTTATCTCAGAAATTCCTTCATCTCAAAACTTACTTAAGCCTCAATTTCGAAATCTGAGAAATAGGTTAATATTACTTCATAGTTTCTGTGACAATGAAGATGATGATGAGGATGACAAAATTGGGACCAGGTAAAGCAGGAATCCTATGGCAATTTTTGTTTTGCTTCACCTGAATACATTGGGCAAACTGTAAGCCTGTAAATCCAAAGGGTCAAATACAAAATCAGATAACATGGGTAAAAGAACACTGTGTCTTTCTTCCTAAATCCAGAAGCTTCTGCCTCTGCTCCCTTGTTTCTAGGCCTCTCTGCATTTCTTCCCCACAAAGCGGGGATGGGAAGAGCTTATTCTGTTGTTTAGAGTCCATTTATAAGTAGGGCATTAGTCATCAGTTTGGCTCAATAGCTAGAACTCCATAATCTACTTGCTCATTTTATATCTCTTTCATTTTAAAGTCCCTGCCTCCCTTGGATGATAAGCAGATCTAAACAGAGTGGCCAACCCTGCCACTAAGTCTGTCCAATAAGGCAAGTAAAATAAATAAGATATAAATATTATAATGCAAGAAACAGAATTTTCTTCATTTGCAGATGGCATGATTGTACACTTCGAAAATCCAAAATAATTCATGACCCAATGATTAAAATTAGTAAGTGTAGCAAGTTCAATGAACACAAGGTCAATATGTAAAAACCAATTGTATTTCCATACACTAGGAACAATTAGAAAATAAAAATTTTAAATCTGCATGAAATGTCTGTACATGAAAGTAAAACTGATACTGGATATGCAAATCACTACACTGAGAACTAAAATCATTGCTTAAGACATTAAACTATTAGATGACCTTATCAAATGAATAGTCTATATTTTTGACACAATGGCTCAATATTTTTGAGGTAGCAATCCTCCCCAAAACTTAATGCAATACCAATCAAAACTGCAAGGGAAATTTTATAGATTTGAAAAGGATTTAGAATTTAGAAACTAATTCTAAAAGTTTTATGGAATCAAAGGACATACAATGGATAAAATAATAAGGAGAAGAACACAAATGAAGGAAAAACAAACCACGGATGAGCTTCAAATTCTACTCTATAGCTATATTAATAAGCACATTATGATATACCTGGGATGCTGAGCTAACAGATGAAACAAAATAGAGTGAAGGAATATGTCTATACATGTATGATCACTTGATTTATGACAAAAGCATCACTGCAATTCAATGGAAGAAAGGAAGATCTTTTCATTAAATGGTCATAGGGCAATTGGAACCTTGACACCTTTTGCATACCATCACAAAAATTGATTTGAGGTGGAAAATAGACCTACATGAAAAAAAACTGTGTCTATTACTTGAAGTAGGCAAAGGTTTCTCAACAGGGCACAAAATAAACCAACTAATAAAGAAAATAAATAGTTATTTGGTCTTTATCAAAACTAAGAATTTCTGTACCTCAAAGAATATCATTATGAAAGTGAGGAGTCAAGTAATGGATTAGTAGAGAATTCACAGTGCATGGTTTTGCAGGGGCTTATAGCCAGAATCTGTGAAGAATGCCTACATGTGAACAATAAACAAACGACTTGAACAGGTGCTAGACAGAAAAGAATATCCAGATGGCCAATGAGCATATTAAAAGGTGCTCAGCATCGTTATTCTTCAGGGAAAGCAAATTAAAACCACAATTTTATGAGATACAACTGGAACTCCCACACATTGTTCATAAGAGCACACAACTTGGTCACCTTTTGAAATACATTTAATAATTACCACTAAAGCTAAATATATGCCTAGTTAAGTTCATTCCAGTGGAATTACCCAAGAATAATGAGTTTATATGTCCACCAAAGATTATTTAAATAAATGTTTGTAGCAGCCTTTTCCATGATGGCACAAAACTGTAAATAATCTAAAAAACCCAAATGTTTATTTCAAGAAGAATGGAAAAGTAAATTATTACATGTTTATACAGGGGGACTTTAAACATAAACTTAAAAATAATTTATGCATACAGCAACATTAACGAATTTCAAAGATACTACATTGAGGAAAGAAATTGAGACAGTAGAATATATGCTGTACAGTACAATATCATTCTGGTCACACAAAGTTTAAGACTAGGTGATGGAAGCCAGAATTGTGGTTACTCCAGGTGGAGAGTGGGGGAAGGGCTGTTGAATTGGAAGGGGTATGTAGGAATCTTCTGAAGTAAAGGAAAATTTCAATACATAGATCTGGATGGTGTTACACAGATCAAAGAAGTGTAAAATTCCATTGAGCTGTAATCTACAGTTTTGTGCACCTTATTATGTGTTGTACCTCAATTTCAAAAAGAAAGAGAAAAGCAAAGAAATAGCATTTTAAATGTTCAGATAAATGTGAGACCATCACCTGAGAATGGGGAGACCTGACAGGGGTTTCTGGAGGGTTGGGAGAAAAAGAACAGTGCTGTTGGATTTTGTAAATATATGTGAGTATTATTTTGATTAAAATAACATTTATTTTAATGATAAGGAAGGAAAGACTGCTGAAAATCTTAGACAAGTTGAGTACTGAAAAATATCTGATGGCCTTATCAATAACTGCTGGTGTTATAAAGAGAACTTATCTTGGAGTGATGCTAACAGGGGCCAGATTGAAATGAGACTGAAGAACGGAAATTAAGAGAATGAGTACAGACAGTTCTTAAAATTAATTTTATTATGACAGGATGAGAAATATAGAGCTGTGGCTGGTGGAGATGTGGGCTTCAAGAAGACTATATTAAGATGAACAAGTTTCACTTATATTTGGCGGCCAGATTATTATGAGACAACACGGAAATTGTGTCAATTTTTTTTCAGCAGGCCGTGTATGCACCTGTGCAGTCTTTTTCCATGTGGTCCACAACTGGAAACCAGGACTGTTCATATTATATCTAGCCCTTTTGAATTTATGTGAGGGGAGTTCTGGGATATTATAAAAAGGAGACTGACCCGCGAACATGCACAAGGGACTGTTTGGGATGACTGGACAGAATGAGCAATAGTCTGTCCTCGGCTATGTCTCATGACTTCGTTCTCCAAAGGACCATGTGGAAAAAGGTCCTAAGCACTAAATAAATACTCCTTCAAGAGGAAGAACAGCAGAGATGCCTCTGCCCTCATTCCAGATCCCCAGCTGCAGAGTTTTGATACAAGTTGCAGGTGCCTAGGGAACACTGTGCCTGCACAGCACAGAGGTACGTGGCTGAGTCTTCAGGTTTAGGGGCTGTGATGTGCAGAAAGCTTTCCTTCTTTGTTAATGTAGCTTTTAGTCTTTCTTTCTGCTTTTCTTCCCCAGCTGAATACAGGATGAAGAGGAATTCAGGGCCTTTCCCAGGATCTTGCCTATACCAGAGCAGCCCTCTTAAATTGCTGACTGTGTAACTGCAGTTGAGACTGCTACTGTCTCCCTCCTGGAGTCTCAGGGCCTCAGGACTCTGCGTCACCTGGTCTTCTCCACTCAACCCTGTTCGGGAAAACAAAATCAGAAATTACACAAAGCTTTTAGTTTAGCAGTTTTAAAAAATTCCAACAGGAAAACTGAATGAGCTGAACTTAAATCTTCATTTCTCTTTCTCAGCTTTGCATGAATGATTCTCATGTCTTAACCTCCAACTTACAGCCAAACTGAAGCCACAAGACTATGAATGCACGCTCCAACATTTTCTCCATCCTGGTATCTCAACCTAGAGACGATTTATGATAATTCCAACCTTCTTTTTTCAGAGAAACTCCTTCTGTATCTTAAGTTCACATTCTCTAGCGCAGGAGACAGCCTTTCTGTTGGCTGCTTAACCAATCAAATGCAAGTCCTCCAGTAATTTTCATGCTTCTGAAATTAAAGGCAGCCTTAGAATGAGAGTAATTGAGCCACTGCCACCTCGTGGCCACAGTACAGTCCCACAGTACCCACTTCATGCCGCCTACCAAGAAAAAGATTGAGGGAAGGACATTCTTCATATTTGGTGGGCATAGTTCATAAGAGGTTTAAGGTTGCAATCCATAAAGTCTTTTGTTATTTGTACTCTTGTTTAAATTGTCTTTTGAATGACTTTTAAGGCTAAGCTGCAACCAGAGGTTACAAAGGAGTTGAACCTAAGAGGTAGGGGTAATGGGTCATATTTTTCACTAAAATAAACAAGAAACTCACTGGTAAAATCTTAAAAAGACTAGCAATTCCTCAAGGATCTAGAAATAGAAATTCCATTTGACTCATCAATCCTATTACTGGATATCTACCCAAAGGATTATAAATCATTCTATTATAAAGACACATGCACACGTATGTTAATTGCAGCACTGTTCACAATAGCAAGGACCTGGAACCAACCCAAATGCCCATTGATGATAGACTGGACAAGGAAAATGTGGCACATATATACACCATGGAATACTATGCAGCCATAAAATATGATGAGTTCGTGTCTTTTGTAGGGACATGGATGAATCTGGAAGCCAGCATTCTCAGCAAACTGATACAAGAACAGAAAATCAACCATTGCATGTTCTCACTCATAGGTGGATGTTGAACAATGAGAGCACATGGACACAGGGAGGGGAGCATCACACACTGGTGTCTGTTGGGGGTATTAAGGGAGGGACAGAGGGGAATGGGGAGGTTGGGGAGAGATAACACGGGGAGAAATGCCAGACACAGGTGACAGGGGGATGGAGGCAGCAAACCACCTTGCCATGTATGTACCTATGCTACAATCCTGCATGATCTTCACATGTACCCCAGAACCTAAAGTACAATAAAAAAAAAGAAAGACTAGAGCTCTGAAAATAAAAGATGGGGTGAGGGGATCAAATAGCTTGCAGATATGCCTAGAAACCCCTCTGATGCAATGTGCAGAGAATTTGGAACAAAAATTAAGAAATCCATGTCTTCAAATAATTTTATGTGTGACTACAGGGATTGAGACCAACTGTACCAAAATTCAGGGTCACAAAATTGGTAGCTCTTAGAAGGAAGGAAGGAAAGAACATGGCAGAAAGAAAAAATAGGTCTCCATTTCTGGACCTCAGAGAGATCTGAAAGAGAGAGAGAGAGAGGAGAGAGAGAGAGAGAGAGAGAGTGTGTGTGTGTGTGTGTTGGGGAGAGATTATTCCATGCAAATTATAAATATTTTACACAATATAAATAATACACAGCAAAAGTAAGTCTTTTCTCCTCATCTGTCTTTCAGTATCACAGTTTTCATTATAGAGGTATCTATACTTTCAAACACTCTCACACACGTACACACTCATTATTTTCAGACAAATGCATACTTCATTCTGTGCCTTGTTTTTTGTCCATGCAAAATGACCACATAGTATTACATTGTTCAACTGAACTATATTACATTTAAACAGTTTTGCACTTTTGTATTTTTTAATTGAAGAAATCAAATTTTTATTTTTTTTTTTCAGTTTAGAGTTTTCCTCATTCTTTTTTTAAAATTATACTTTAAGTTCTGGGTACACATACAGAACATGCAGGTTTGTTACATAGGTATACACGTGGCTTGGTGGTTTGCTGCATCCATCACTCCGTCATCTATATTAGGTATTTCTCCTAATACTGTCCCTCCCCCCCACCTCTACTATCCCTCCCCAAGCCCCCAAACCTCCTGACAGGCCCCAGTGTGTAATGTTCCCCTCTCTGTGTCCATGTGTTCTCACTGTTCAACACCCACTTATGAGTGAGAACATGCAGTGTTTTGTTTTCTGTTCTTGGGTCAGCTTGCTCAGAATGATGGTTTCTAGCCTTATTCATGTCCCTGCAAAGGACAAGAAGTCATCCTTTTTTGTGGCTGCATAGTATTCCATAGTGTATATGTACCATATTTGTTTTATGCAGTCTATCACCGATAGGTATTTGGTTCTAAGTGTTTGCTATTGTGAATGGTTCTAAGTGTTTGCTATTGTGAACACTGCTGCAATAAACATACATGTGCTTGTGTCTTTATAATAGAATGATTTATAATTCTTTGGATATATACCCAGTAATGGGATTGCTGGGTCAAATGGTATTTCTATTTCTAAATCCTTGAGGAATCACCACACTGTCTTCCACAGTGGTTGAACTAATTTACACTCCCACCAGCAGTGCAAAAGCGTTCCTATTTCTCCACATCCTCTCCAGCATCTGTTGTCTCCTCATTTTTTAATGATCATCATTCTAACTGGTGTAAGATGGTATCTCAATGTGGTTTTGATTTGCATTTCTCTAATAACCAGTGATGATGAGCTTTTCTTCACATGTTTGTTGGCTGCATAAATGTAATCTTTACCCATCCTCCCCCAATGATAACAGCTTATGTAGCTATAGAACAGTATCTAAACCAAGAAATTAACACTGGTATAATCCATAGAGCTTATCTAGGTTTCTGAAGTTTTACATGCACTAATTTGTGTTTTGTTCTATGCAATTTTATCGTATGTGTAGATTCATGTAACCACTGCCACAATCAAGACTCACAGCAGTTTCACAGACATGGGTTTCCTCATGCCACTCCTTCACAGCTACATCCATCCCCTCTCCACATCATTAATCCCTGACAATCACTAGTCTGTTACTTACTCCTACAATTTTGTTATTTCAAGAATGCCATATAAATAGAATTGCACAGTAGTAACCTTTTAAAATGGCTTTTCTCACTCTGCACAAGTGATAAAATCATGATATCTATCCAAGTTATTATGTGTGTAAATGTTTCTGTTCCTCTGTATTGCTATATAATAGACTATGTTATGAATGTGCCACAGTTTGCTTAACTTAGCCGTTCACCCACTAGAGGACATCTGGGTTGTTTCCAGATTTGGGCTGTAATGAATAAAGCTGCTATGAATATTCACATACATAGTGTGAATGTAAGTTTTAGTGTGAATGTAAGTTTTTGTTTCTCTACAATAAGTGCCCACGAGTGTAATTGCTGGGTCATGTGGTAAGGCATGTATAATTTTATAAGAAACTGCTAAACTATTTTTCAGAGTGCCTGAATCATTTTATATCCCCACCAGCAACATATGAATGATCCAGTTTCCCTACATTTTCAACACCATTTGATGTTATCTTTATTTTTTATTTTAGCCATTCTGATAGGTATAATTATATCTCATTGTGGTTTTAATTTGCATTTCACTGATAACTCATAATGTTGATCATCTTTTCATATGCTTATTTGCAATATGTGTATCCTCAAAGTGAAATATCTGTTTGATGCTTTTTGCCTATTTTCTAACTGTTTATTTATTTATTTACCATTACATTTTGGGAATTCTTTATATATTCTAGCTACAACTCTGCCTCAGATACCTGGTTTTTAAATATTTACTCCCAGTGTGTAGTTTATCATTTGATCTTCTTAACAGGATCTTTTACAGAGCAAAAGTTTTAAATTTTGATGAAAACCAGTTTGTGTGAATATGTGTGTGTGTGCATTGTGCTTTTCATGTCAAACCTAAGAACTCTTTGCTTGGCTCTGCATCTTGAAGATTTTCTTCTTTTTTTCTAAAAGTTTCATCGTTTTACATTTTATATTTAATTCCATGATTCATGTTGAGTTTATTTTTGATGATGTTTATTTTTAAATAGATTTTTGGAAAGGGGTAATAGGTCATTATTCTTATCTTAATAGCCGAAACTATTCCCTCTCCCTCATCATAACCCCTGATAATCACTAATCCGTTATTAATCCCTATAATTTTGTTATTTCATGAATGTTATATAAATGGAATTGTATAGTGGTTAGTCTGCTTTGAATAACCAAAATGTATCTCAAAGACTTTTAATAGAGGAGTTAAAAACCTTCTATATTTTGAGGCTGAAAATTTTCCTTTTTATCTCACTATGATTATTCTACCTGAAAAAAATTAATTACAAAATATAAGACCCACACCAAACCCTTTACAACCCATCACCTTCTGAAATCCCCTATCATTTATTATAGGGCAGATTTTTAAAATTATAGATTAGGAAAATAGTTATATCTGTCTTATTATCAAGAATAACTGGAAACTTTCCCTAACATTTACGTTTTTTTAAACCTTAATACTCCCCAGGAAAATTGCCCATCCATCTTTAATTCATCAAAGACAAATGAAAATAAGATTTTTTTTTTTACCATCACATTGATTTTCTTTTTTTTTTTTTTCATCTATGACTTCTTTTCTGATATTTAGGCATGTTTCCTGAAGAAAAGACTAATTCTCTCCAAATTGTCCCAAGAATGAGAAATCCCTTTTTCTGTCATTACTTTTTCTGAAAATCATATGCTTTCTTCGGCTTATTTTCACAATCATAGTTTCAAGGCCAAATAGCCTGGCTCCCTGGGACATAGTCATGCTTATTCCAGGAACAGGGTCCTGATTTTGCCCTTATGGGTGAATTTTGAAAAGACCAATAATATTACAATTGAGAATAATACTTCCTAAAGGTCTCCTTAAGGGTTAAGAATCAAGAAGTGTTTATTTTAATTGAAATAATTCAGCCTTTGGAACCAGAGTCAGGAAATTAGAAAAGCAAGCTTATTTTTCTTAAGTCTTAGACTAGGACTTATAATGGAAGGAATATCTACCTAGATATTAAGTAGTCAACTAGGTCACTCAATGGGAAAGAAAATATGTTAAAAAAAAAAAAAAAAAAGAGCAAGTCTTGGCAAGATAAAGACAAATGGCAACAGAGAGTGTGACCCCATCCAGGTATATTCAAGGGCAACAGATGATGTATGAGAACACGTACATACAAGAATTATTTTGTCTGTTCTGCGGAATTTAAGATAGGAGGAAAAGGTATGGGGGACACAGAGAGAACTGAAACAACTGTGATTTTCTTTCAGCCTAGTCACTATATGATTGCTCCTAGTTTTATAAAACCCATATCTCCAGCCACAGTAAGTAAATATTTGAGGCTCAAATTCTAAAACTCCTGGAGATAAACCAGAAAAGAGATAAGATGGAGGGATGCCATCACTGGCCAAAGCCAAGAAGAATCAGCATATATATATAGGAGGGACTTCCAAGTCTGTAAGAAACCAAATCAGATATAAAACTTTGTATAGAATCAGGTGAT